AGTATGGCTGAAAACTTCATAGAGTCTCACATTAAGATTCTCATCCAAGGAATCAATCATTTCTATGGCATGGGCACGTTGAGAGGGAATACTTATCCATACTTACGAAGCGAGTCACAGGAGGAAAAATTACACACGTCAGCAGTTCCAGACTCTTTATCAAATAGTTTAATCTTTATTTCAGAAGCTCTGACAGCTGCAGACATATAAGAAATTAGTTTCTGTTGATGCTGAAGTTTAGTATGTAAGTCATTAAATTGGCCGTTGTTATCACATAGCAGTTCAAGACTCTAACGGCACTTTTCATCGTTAAGTTGAATCATAATTTTGCTTTTTTCATGAATGGGCACTTCTATATCTAGCCTCGAAGCTAAGGAACATACGAAGATTGTCTCATGACTCAGCCAGCGAGCTTCTCTGCGGTGCAAGACGTCTCCAAGTTCAGCATTAATTTTCGACACATAGAATGAAACTGACAAAGATTAAGTCCTTGAAATAGAATGAAGTTCACAACTGACACTAGAAATTTCATAACCTATCAGACTTGAAAGTTTTTCGACAAAATGTTTGTAGGTGGGTGATGCAGTGAAGTTTCATATAAAATTCGGGAATTAATTTGTCCATTTCTCTCCTGATTTTATCCATCGAAACTTTTTCTTTCCAGTCATACCTGCCCGCTCTCATCCCCTTTAGTTCTGTCCAGAAGAGCTCAAGTTCCTTCATGGCTCACACACACACACACACTGTAGAACAAACCTTCTCCTCTTGCTGCACCATAAAAGTACTCAAGACTAGCCAGTTCTTCGGCCACATCAAACGAGACTGTTATGCCTCGAATCTCGTGTGCAATTACTCCCATCCAGTGCTACTGTCTTAAACTCGCCGCGACATTCTGAACGAGGCAAATGTACGGTATGAAGAACAGTTTCTCTTTTTGGAAAAAATCTCGTCTGAAAAAAGTTTCCTTTTTGCAGCCGACATGTGCGCGATATGATGACTTGCTCTTGCAATGCAGAGGAACTAACAGTGGATAAATTCGACAAATTTTGTTGTGAATCTCACTCCCTTTTATAACCACCACTCTTTCTCTTCTCAAAACACTGAATAGATTTTTTAATTTTCTTGTTTTTTGAACTGTAATGCCTAGAAATCCAAGGAATCTGTCCAGGTCCGAGGCTTTGTGTTCATTTTCGTAACATAATTATTTTTACGGTAAGGAGGTGTTAACCCCATGCCTAACCGCCAAGCTGGAGGGCCACCCCTTGTCGGCTGTCCGCGACTGCCTATTTAATATATTCGCAGCTTACCTCCAAAACTGGAGGGGGTCTCCTCCATCCGCAACCTGAGGACGCGCCATGCCGTGGTGACAGGGACCTTTTGTCTTCTCGCCTGCTCTCCAAAAACATAAAAATTAGAATATACAAAACTATAATTTTGCCTGTGGTTCCGTATGGGTGTGAAACTTGGTCTCTGACATTAAAGGAGGAACACAGACTGAGGGTGTTTGAGAACAGGGCGTTGAGGAG